CCGGGGATTTAGCTCAGTGGTTCTGCCGCCTACCTTGAAAGCATAAGGACCCGAGTTTGATCCCCAGTACCAAACAAAAAAAAAAAAAAAAAAAAAAAGTTCATTATCTCTCTAAGTTTTATCTTGCTGCTGGGGATCAGACCCAGGGCTTTGAACCCAAGGCATTTTATCTGTGCAAGGCAAGGGCTGTATCTTTAACCTACATCTCCAGCCCTCTACTACTTACTACTACTACCACTATATTAAAAGCCATTTATTCAGGACCTGTTCTGCACCAAAGAAAGTGTAAAAATCCTACTAGCTGGTTCTGTATGAAAAAACTGAAATCTATTTCGAACATATGTCCCAGGCACCACAAATGAAACACATTTCCCTCTCCCTCCATGTTTTGCCCTATCTTGCTATACTCCCACACCAGAAAACAAAACAAAACAAAAACAAATACAAAAAAACCGAGACCACACAAACAGAACCATAGGACTTTAACTTTCTTGGGGAATGATGTCACTTTTCATCTAGTTTACACCAGAAACCTGGGTCTGCCTCCTCTTCCTTTTAATTGCCTATCAATCTGTCACCAGAGATTTTACCATTTCTTTTCTCATCCCATATTCACCACCCTATTACACTTCATCTCCTTGTATAACTTTGGAGCTTCCTAACTGGTCCTCGCCTCTAATGTGGCCCTCCTGTGCTGCACATCTGGCCCATTCACTCTGCAGCCTGATGAGTGAATTTTCTAAAGTGCACATGTAATATCTGGGAATGGTGGGGCACATCTGTAATCCCAGAACTCTGGGAGACTGAGGAGAGGATCACAAGTTCAAAGCTAGCCTGGGAAATTTAGCAAGAACTAATTTAAATAGAAAATAAAAATAGAAAATAAATTTAAATAGAAAAAAAATTAAAAATGGAGATGTAGCTGCGTGAAGGCCCAGAGTTCAATACCCAGTTCTGCAAAAACACAAAAACAAAACAAAAAAACAGATGTGTTTTCTTTGATAAAACCCTTCTGAGACAGCCCATTAATTATTCTGGAGGTAAAATCCAGCAATGTATATTTGGCTTACTGTAGTTTTCTGATAAATCCTGACCTACCCAGCCAACCTCTTAAAGTCTCCTTTCAGTTCCTAGAGATGAACACAATTTCTCTCTCTCTCTCTCTCTGTCTCTCTCTCACACTCTTTTTTTTGTTTTAAATGATCTCATGTAGTTAAGGCTGGCCTTGAACTCACTTTGTAGCCCAAGCTGGCGTTGAACTCACAGTGATCCTGCTGCCACTGCCTCCCGAGGGCTGGGATTATAGGCATACATAATCATGCATGGCCTGAACACAATCTCTTTTACTCTTAAACAAATCAGTTCCATTTGCCTTGATTACTCTTTCCCTCCTCTTTGCCTAGCCTATCTCCAGTGATCCTGCAGGCTTCAATTTAAATTTAGTTTTCTAACTCCAGCAGGAATTTGTGCTTCAGACTCTTCCCACCTCCACATTTATTGAGGTTTATGGTCACCTCTGCATTGGGTGTTCGTGATGGCAAGGACCAGGAGAGATTTGTGAAGGATTGTAACTCTGAGAGCCTACCTGTTGCAAGAAAGTAGAAGGGAGGAAGAACTCTTTTTCTCTATGTTAGGAGCCCGGCAAATTAAACTGACAAAGGACAGATTAACAGGGGAAAAAGTTTAATACATATGTGTAAATGTGAAATGTTATAGCTAGGAAAGAGCTCAGTATTGACAAAGGATGATAAATTATAGAAAAGTAATCAAATGAAGGAGAGGATCTTCATGCTCTAGGGTAAATTATCATAGGAAGGTAAGTATTTGGAGGAAACTAACAGAAGGTAAGAGTTCTTTAGTAAGGTTTATTATGCAGCCTTGAATTGGTGCTTTCCCCATAGATAAAAGTCTCCTCTTCCTGAAAACCGAAGACATATTTACAAACGGAAATTTGGCGCCTTTACATGGTAAAATTTATGCCTTGTATCTAGACCAAAGGGGTGAAGGCACACAAGCAAATTGCTTTCAGTTCAAAATAATTCTCATGCCAAAATAGCATATTTTGGGGGTGGCATGCTTTGATCCTCTTCAGAAGGAAATCATTGCTGTTGGCCTCCCCTTGTGATTAGAGCTATTTTGAATTAACTCTCAGATGTTTCTGTTTTTGATTGTAGTTTGGGAGCGCAGGAGGTGACTGCAGGACCAGAGCCCAGCTGCGGGTTCCCAGCATGGATAACTACATGGTCATGAGAGTGATTGGGGCGGGCTCCTTTGGCAGAGCTCTTTTGGTTCAGCAGGAAAGCAGCAATCGGATGTTTGCCATGAAAGAAATAAGGCTTCCCAAGGTTACTATTGATGGCACACTGGCTGTCCAAGTCTAGTGATGTTGAGAGTGAACATATAATTTATATAAGAATAAATCCTTGAGGTTTAACATGGAATTTCTCCTTTTTACAAAATATGTAATCAGTTTATTAGTTTTACAAGGGCTTGATATATTTTATTTGGTTTTTAGGATAGTGTAATTAACAAAGGGAGAGAAATAGTCATTGTGTGCTATTTTATTTCAGTGAGTTATTTGGTAATTTCCAATTTCATATACATAGCAGGAAACCTTTAACAGAAGCAACTCAGGTAAAATAATAATAATAAAATAACATGAGAATACAATGATAAATCTAAAAATACAAACTGTTAGTTATTGGAGAACCTACTCCTTGGATCAATTTGTAGATCTTATTTCCCTATAGACTTTATTACTGTATTTTTTTATTTTTTTATTTTTTTGTACAGTGGATGGAACTCAGGTCCTTGCGCTTGTGAGGCAGGCGGTGGAACCACTGAGCTAAATCCCCGGCCCTGTTACTGTATTTCATAGTTGTTCTATGAAAGAATCCATGCCACAGAGATTGCTTAATGTTATTTCGACCAACTTTTTATAACTACATCTTAATAAAGTTCTAGGAGTTCTAGATATTTTCCCCACAGTATGCTTGATTTCAAATTTGAGAGTGCATCGTACTAATCTGGAAGCTTGCTCGCAGTTTCTGATCTGTGAGTCTGGGTGTGCCTGTGAGTTTGTGTTTTAACGTGTTCTCAGAGGATGCTGCTGCTCTGAGAACCCATGGGCTGTTACCCAGCCCATGGCAGTTTCTTTTCTTTTTTTTTCACTTGGGATGTAACCCAGGGCCTTGCACTTGCTAGACCCCTGCTTGCACAGTGCTCTACCAGTCCTTATCCAGTTTGTTGATTGTAAGAGTGAGACATTCAGGATTTTATCCTCATAGAGTAAGTTAGGGAGAGTTTTAGAAACATATTTAACCTGTTGTCTCTGTCCATCCTTGATGTAATAATACACCAGCCTAGTTTTAAAAATCTGGGCCACATGGTGGATAAAGTGATTTCAACTGTTAGAACATGAAATCCCTGGCTTTTCTTTTGGAACATTTTACTTCTGATGGCATACTGGCCATTGAAGTCTAGTGATGTTTAGACAGACATGAAGACCAGTTTATATTCTTTATGTGAAAGGAATGAAAAAGAACATTGTACACTGAATGGATCACTTCAAGCATGCAAAATACGCTGTAGTTTAAAAATTACGCATTTTCTTTTGGGGTTTGATGAACTTGAGGAAAAATATGGTTTTACAAAATTGAATGCAGCACTAAAGTGTCATACAAACGATAGTAGATGTTTGGGTAAAGCTATTTTAAAATTCAGTATTAAATTTATGCTTATTTAAAATATTTTCCTAGTCTTTCTCTGATACACAGAATTCTAGGAAGGAGGCTGTTCTGTTAGCCAAAATGAAACACCCCAATATTGTTGCCTTTAAAGAATCATTTGAAGGTAAATATGATTTGCTCCAAATATGTTCTCTAAATTTGGTCTGTAGAACTATGACCTTCCTAAGGAATCCTATATTTATTTTAGCTGAAGGACATCTGTATATTGTCATGGAATATTGTGATGGAGGAGATCTAATGCAAAAGATTAAACAACAAAAAGGAAAGTTATTTCCTGAAGATATGGTAAGATACTGACTTAGTTTCCCTCAAAGTTTAGAAGCTACTTTTCTCCTAGACTTTGTATAAATTAAAATAAAAGCACTGATATCTATGATTACCTGATTCACTAGTTAGAAACAACTGGTTTCTGGATCCTTGTTACAGCTTAGTGTCCTCAGAATGGTTACCTGAAATATTTTAAACAAATAAAGTCAAGCCAGCCACGGTGGCACATGAGTGTATTCCTAGCACTCAGAGGCTGAGGCAGGAGGATCAGAGTCTGAGCTACATAGTGAGTTCAAAGCCAGCCTGAATTGTATAGCGAGACTTTGTCTCAAAAAACCAAAAACAAACAAAAAAGAAGTCTGTTGAAGTTATGAAATATTAAGGGATCAAGCTTGCATGTTTAGATGAACTTCAAAATTATATTACTACTTGTCTTGGATATTTTAAATCTTGATTTTTACTGTTCTGAAATTATAGAAGGCATAATAGATTTTATTTCGTATTAGCAGATCATGAGAAGAATGAAGCCTCCCATTTCTGTTACTTAATAGTAGCTATTCTCAATCTTTTTCCTTCTAAAGCTCAACATATTTCCTTAAGTCCAAAATTTGCTACTGTTTTAATGGAAAATTGCATATGCAGGGGTAGAAAGGTATGTTCTCTTTCCTCACCCATCAAGGCTGATATTCCTGTCATATAAAACAGGAGAACAACAGAAAAACACTTCACATTTAATCATAAGTTTACATGACATGAGAGCCTTTGGAAATGAAGACACACAGACTCAGGAGAAACTATTTCTATGCTTAGATTCAGTGAGGCATGAACAACTGTGTAGAAATTCACATGAAGCTGGGCATGGTGGCACACGCCTGTAATCCCAGTACTCGAGAGGCTGAGGCAGGAGGATTGCCATGAGTTCGAGACCAGCCTGAGCTGCATAGTGAGTTCAAAGCCAGCCTGAACTACAGAGTGAGACCCTGTCTCAAAGGAAAAAAACAAAAAGAAAGAAATGCTATGAAAAAGGTATAACCTAATGGTAATAGAATGATTGGAGAAAACTAGCAAGTCCTGTGTATTTGGATTTTTCTTGGCCTTTGTGGCATTCCTTTCTTCCTGGTATAGGGTGGGAACTCTTCTAAAATAAGAATCTTACGATCTACTTTCACACAAGGTAGGTGGGAGAATTCCTTTATGGCTAGCTTTTATGCAGAAAGTTGGGAATAAAGATACTGTAATATTTTCAGGTTTATCCATGACTGGGTTTGGGGAAGAAAGGTTCTAGTTTCTATGACCACCTTAGAGAAGAGAAATTCTGGTTTTGGTGGCCTGCCTGTGGGTACAGAGGGGAACAGGAGAAAAAAGGTCAGAAAGATCTTGTTTCTGAGCCTCTTTCCTTGAGTTCCATGTCAAAGCACCATACTTTGGAGTACCATGTTCTGTGTCGTAACATACAGTAAATATTTTTGTAATAATATCTTCAATGGAGGTTACTTTGATATAGGTTATAACATGTTTTGAAACTATATAAATAAGTATTCATTTAGAAGTTGTATTTTGTTGTTTTATCTTGGTTTTTAGACAGGGTCTCACTATTAATTAATAAATTAGGGCTGGCCTTGAACTAGCTATGTAGCCCAGGCAGTGATCCTACTGACTCAGCATGTGCCACCATGCCCAGATCTAGAAATTATATGTTAAAAGTATAAACTCCAGGGGTGCAGAATGTAGCTCAGTGGTACAATGTCTAGCATGCATAAGGACCTGGGTTAGATCCCTAGTACGGAGTTGGGGGGCATTGGGGGGTGGTGGGATACCTCAAAGGATTGTAGACAACACAGTGAAATTCTTTAATGTCATCGTGAATATTCTGAAACATTACAATGAAATTCAATATAATGATTGCCTTGGAAAGGCTGTTACATATTTCTTAATGGTGAACAATTTTTATGTATGCATTTAAGAAATACTTTTAGGTTTTATTAAAATAGCTATTTAGATCATACATAAGATGATAGAGTGTTAGTTGAACTATGTAATTTTCATGAATTTTGTATTCATATGTAAAACCCTGATCAACTAAGGCCTAGAAATTATTCTTTAGAATTTTGGGTTAATATGAAAAAATTATTACATTTATGCAGATGTCGCATACTTTTTTCTTATAGATACTTAATTGGTTTACACAAATGTGCCTTGGAGTAAATCATATTCACAAGAAACGTGTGCTACATAGAGATATCAAGTCCAAGGTGAGTGGAATACATTTTGGGGCCTGGGAAAAAACAAAACCATTTCATTGCTTTTTATTTTTCTGTGGTGGTGGTGATACTGGGAATGGAACCCAGGGGTGTGCTATCACTGAGCTACATCTGCAGCCCTTTTTACGTTTTATTTTAAAACAGGATCTTACTCAGTTACCCAGGCTGTCCTTAAATATACAGTCTTCCTGCCTCAGCCTCCCTCTGCTGGAAGTATAGGCATGTCATTACAGGCATGTCACCATGCCTGGCTTCATTATCTTTTTTTCTATTACTTATTTCCATTAGGAACATTTCTATTTAGTTTAGAACTATTTGCTGGCCTAATATATATTAATATTAATTTTTAATTAAATAAATTTCCCTGGCTTTACTGTTAAAAATTACATATATTTATTACATACATTTGCAGTGTACAACATAATGTTTTGCTATATGTATGCATTGTGATTGAACTGAGTTAATCAATTTATCTCTAACTTCATATACCACCTTCTGATTAGAACATTTAATATCTACTGTCAGGACTGGTGTATAGCTTCAGCAGTATAGTGCTTGCGTAGCATGTATGAGGACCTGGGCTTGATCCCAGCACTACAAAAAACAATAAAAAATAAATCTACTGTTTCAGTAATTCTCAAGAATACTGTGAAATATTTTGAAAAAAAATTACACATTAACCGTAGTCACCATGTCATACAACCAATCTTGAGAACTTATTTGTGCTAACTGAAACTATACTCTTTGATCTAATATTTATATTAATCAAATAAAGTAGCATATGTGAAAAAGTCACTTTTGTGATGTACGCTAATGTGTTTCCAGTGCTTTTAGTGCCATCTCACTAAGTCTGTATGTTGTCAGGTGGAAAATGTTCAGTAGCTGGGCCTGCCACTTGGTGGCACCTTGACCCAGGTCCCAGTCAGTGGATCAGCTCTGTGATGCCCCATGTGTGTTAGATTCCCAAGTGGTCATCCTGAATTCCCAAGCAGGGGAACATGTAGCTGTCAAGAGGGGCTCTGCTATTTTTCTTCCCCTACTTGGTAACTAAGATCGAACTCAGGACGTTGCACTTGTAAGGCAGCAGAGGCACCACTGAGCTAAATCCCCTGCTGTTTTGTAGTCCACTCAGAGACTCGTTTCTGCTCAGAAAGCATTTCTACCCTTAATCTCCATCATCAGAAAGCTTTGAAAGACAGTTTCCCTGGAGACCTTTGCCTTCTGTTTGAATGACAGAAGATGTAAGCTGAGATCTTATTTTTCAATACAGAATGTCTTCCTCACCCAAAGTGGAAAAGTGAAACTGGGAGATTTTGGATCTGCCCGTCTTCTCTCTAGGTATGTCTCTATTCTATTGTAACAGTAATCAAAACATCCGTTTTCAGTAATACTTTGTAATCGTGCTTTGCTTTTTTTTATGGTTTTAGTCCCATGGCATTTGCTTGTACATATGTGGGAACACCTTATTATGTGCCCCCAGAAATTTGGGAGAACCTGCCTTATAATAATAAAAGGTAAGTGGTATCTTTGTTTTGGTGACAGGGTAACCATTAATGATGCAGAGTGTGGTGCTGGTTTAAAGCAGGTGCATGAGTGGTGGTTTTTTTGGGCTCGGGATGCAGCTCAGTGGTAGAATACTTGTCTAGCATGTAGACCCTTGACACCACAAATTATTAATTAATGTAAGCCAACTCAATTACTAAATTAAAATAAAATATATTTGAAAGCAATGTGGAATCTGTATTCTCAGTATTTTGGAAGAAAGTCAGTTATCCAGCTGTTTTAGTCAGAACTGAGAGGAACTAGTTATAAATGCCGATAAAAGCCTAGTGATTTCTAGGAGTATAATGAGTTATACCATTGATTCCCAAACTATGCTGTTCTGGCTTTTAAAAATGTCAAAATTCAGGTCTGACCCATACCAATTAAATAAAAATTTCAGGAGGTAAGAAGCAAGTGTGATTTTTCATGTTTGTAGTATGTACCGCTTTTGGGAATCCCTAACTTGACATTTATAGGGCCAGATAACAAGTACTTAGTTAGTTTAACTGATTTATAATATATGAAGATGTTATGATATGAAATATTTTTTTCTAAATATAGATTTTATGACCCCGTTGTAGTGGTAGGTGAGCAGGGAGGATTGGGTATAAGAAAGGAAATGGAAATCAAACACTCTTCACTACTACAATTTTTTTAATCTCTTCACTTTTTACCCTTAGACCAGTTGATATAGTCTGTATGCAAATTGGACTCATTTTCTTCACTTTATATTAATTATATCATATTCATTTCCCTACAGAGTTATATTCTTCATAATTATTTCAAATGATGATATGTATTTTCCTTTATGGCTCTTTCAGAATTTCTTAACCATTTCTCTGCTGGTGACCTTATTACTTCCACTTTTCAATATCATAAACACTGTTGTGAATAACGTATCTTTTGTGCATAAATCTCTCTTTTTTTTGGTGTTTCATTCATTGCATGGATTTCTAGAGATGGAAACACTTAAGGACTTGTTATTTTCTGCTGAGTTGCATCTTGAAAAGGGTATCACAATTCTATATGAAATAGGTTTCTTTAAGAGATCTGGGGGACTCGGGTGTAGCTCAGTGGTAGAGGACTTGTGTGAAGCCCTGGGTTCAATCCCTAGTCCTGTAGAAAAGAGTAGAATTGACTAAGTTGGGGTCCCCTTGACTCTAAAGGGACTTGCTTAAACAATTGGAGAAATTTCAGTATAGACCAAATAGATGACATTTTTAAATTAAGGTGAAATTGTGTAGATGTGAGAATGATACCATGTTTATGGGGAAATGTATGTGTCCTTGCTCTGACATATGTAAGAGTGAAGTATCTGGTCTTTGCAGCCTGTTAAAAGAGATTCAGATGTGTAGAGAAAAGGGAAATAGCACACAAACACAGAAAATATTAATGATTGGGAACTTAGGTAAGAATGTGTGCATTTGCAGCTTTTCTATAAGTTTGAAATTTTAAAAAGTTAAAAGTTGAGGGAAACAGTTTATTAAAAAACTTTAGTTAAATGCCGGGTATGGTGGTGCATGCCTGTAATCCCAGCACTTGGGAGGCTGAGGCAGGAGGATCGCTGTGAGTTCAAGACCAGCCTGGGCTATAGAGTGAGTTCCAGGTCAGTCTCAACTACATAGTGAGACCCTGTCTCAAAAAAAACCAAAAAATAAAAAACAAAAAACAACAACAAAAAAAAACTACTTTTTTTGTTGAATATTGTTGAGAAAAAAAAACTGAGATGACATTAGGTGGTAAGAGTGATGGAGAAAACCAGAAGTGCATGAAGAGGTAGGGTATAGGGCCAAGTGTAAAACTGATTTTGAAGAGCTGTTTTGTGGAGGAATAAATAGTCTTGTTCTCTAAGCCCAGGGATGGAGAGAAGTGCGAGCAGCTGCATTGAGAGCCTCTCACAGAGCAGAGGAACAGATCATGGTGAGGTAGAAAGCCATCTGTCAGGACAGTCCTGCAAAAATGGTGCTGTGTGTGCACACAGAGGCCCAAGGGAAACTCACTGCTGTCTCCAACGTCCTTCCAGATGCTACTAAAGTGACCCCAAATCATCTTGATTTGAAGGGCTGGGTTTGAGGAGCAGAGTTTATGAATATTACCCTTAGTATCTGAGTGTTAGAACAAACTCACTGTATGTTTTATTTTCATACCTAGGAATTATTTGTGAAATCTATTATTAGTAATGATAGGGTAATTTTCAGTTTTTTTGTTATTAGAAAAATGCGTGTATTTTCATAGAACTCGTAACCCACTTGTTAAGTTGTTTCTTTATGCTTCCAGTGACATCTGGTCCTTGGGTTGCATTCTGTATGAACTCTGTACCCTGAAGCACCCAGTGAGTATGCTGTGCAAAACAGAAATGGAGGCCTGTTGTCCTGTCTGCCTAAGTCCTAAATAATGTGCTAAATTCCAAATAGCAGTTTATTTCCTTATCATGAATTCATCGTAAAATTTTTTCCTATGTTGCTATTGCTGTTCTTTTCACCTCAAGTTAATAGGCAATATCTACTATTAAGTTTCCATAGTTCTATGTGTAGCTTTTTTACTTCTTTAAAAAAATTTGGTAAAATATATACACCATAAAATTTGCCATTTAACCAAATAATTTGGTGGCATTAATTACATTCATAATAACATGCACCCACGCTATTCTCTGCAAAACTTCTATCACACCAAACGGAAACTCTGTGCCTATGAAGCCATTTCTCCCTAATCCTCTCTTCCTCCAGTTGCTATCTTCTAATCCATGTTCTATCTCAGTGAGTTTGCATAGTCTAGATAGTTCATATCAGTAGATTATGTAATACTTGTCCTTTTGTGTCTGGTATAGTCTCCTTAACATGTTTTCCATGTTCACTCGTTTGGAGTAGCACGTGTCACAGTTCTCTTCATTTTTATGGCTGAATAATATTACACTTTTTATTTTATTTATTTATTCTTATTACTGTTATTTTTTTTAGTACCAGGGATTGACTGAACTTGGGTCCTTGTGCTTGCAATGCAGGCAGCAGAACCACTGAGCTAAATGCCCAGCCCCCCACTATGTTTTTATGCTGTTTTATTATTTATTTATTTATTTATTTAATTTATTTATTTTTTGGGTACCGGGGATTGAACTCAGGTCCTTGCGCTTGCAAGGCAGGCCGCCGAACCCCTGAGCTAAATCCCTGGCTATGCTGTGTTTTATTTATCTGTTTAGCTGTCAGTGAACACTTTAATTTCTCTGGTTATTATGAATGATGCTGGTATTGACATGGATAAACAAGTATATATTAAAGTTTCTGATTCTAGTTTTTAAATAATTGGATATTTAGGAGCCACCTTTTCAGGAGCCACCAAACTGTCTTCCAGAGTGGCTATACCACTTCTCTACTCATGTTTTTGTAGTTAGGTTTCACTTATCATATGAGCTTCCTGAAAAAATAGGAGAAAATACTTTGCCCTAATATTGTCTAGATGTTTTCAGAAATAATTTTACAAAATGAGGTTAAAATACTTGTCCTGCTTGTGCAGCAGTGTATTACGCAGAACTGCAGTCATAAAGCTGATCTCTACTAGGTCTTAACTTTGCATACAAATAAACTATTCTTTGGGCATGGATTGAAGTTTAGGTCTACCAGGCTTTTTATAGATGTGCTTGAGCGTGCTTAGTGCTCTGCGGAGCTGGATGAAAAATCCTTCAGAACCACCAGATAAGAGTAATTCAAACAGAAGGCATGTACTACTGTTAATGACAGGTTGTCTTACTTGACATTGCTTATAGCTGGGTGTGGTGGCGCATGCCTGTAATCCCAGCACTCAGAGAGGCTGAGGCAGGAGGATCGCTCTGAGTTTGAGACCAGACTGGGCTACATAGTGAGTTCCAGGGCAGTCTGAACTACAAGAAAAAAAAAAAATCTATATCTATATATAAATGGCTTCTAATGCTGACTACACAAAATGATTTGGGGAACATTTCAAAGGCTGATACCTAGGCCCACTACAGACTAATTGAATTAAAATCTCTGAAGATGTCTTCGGCACTCGTGTTTTTAAAACAGGGAGATTGATGTGCAGTCCAAGTTGGGAATTACTGTTGTATGCAAATAAAGTTATTTTTAGAATTCTAATATCTAGGGACTGTGACATACATCAATGGTAGAGCATGTACCCTGCATGCACAGAGCCCTGGATTGAATCCCCTGTGCGGGGTGGGGGGTGTATATATAATATAATATATAATATATATAATAATATATAATATGTATACATTCTGAGGCAGCCAGGTATTGTGGCATATTCCTTTAATCCCAGCTACTTGGAGGTTGAGGCAGGAGGATCACAAGTTTGAGGCCAGCCTGGACAATATAGTAAGAACTTGTCTCAAAATAGAAAGGTTTGACATAGCTCAGTGGTAGAACACTTGGCCTTGTATTCATGAGGGTCTGGGTTCAGTCTCCAGTACCACACATAGAAAAGCATAAAACTGGACAAGTCTAGAGTGCTTGTTACTATGGAGCAGGCTGGGGGTGTTCAGGGGAGAGGTAAGGCAAGTACATACATATGATAAGCCTGTTAGTATCTTTGACTTTTTAGAAAGCCATGTATCTGTTACTTTGATTTTCAAATATATTGAAGATATATATTTTTTTATATATATATGCAGAATAATAGATTTTGGTGAATGAAGTACCCACAACAAACACTGATGGGAAGACCTATGTAGATGGGAAGATTTTACTATTCTTTTACTATTCTTCACGTTTGCCTTTTCCTGAGCCACTGTAAGAGTGTAGGTGTGTGTGTGTGTGTGAGGGGATGCTGGGGTTAGACATAGGACCTCCCCTGTGATAGGGGACTGCTTTGCCACTGAGCTACATCCCCAGCCCTTTTTCGTTTTTTATTTTTGCACAGTACTAGAGATTAAACCCAGGGCCTTTGCACGGAGCTACATCCCCAGTCCTTTTTATTTTTTTATTTTGAGACATGGTCTTGCTAAATTTCTGAGTGGCTCAGGCTGGGCTTGAACTCATAATCCTTCAGCCTCCCAAGGTGCTGGAATTACAGGCTTGTGCCACCAAACCCAGCTTATACAATTATATCTTAAGGACACCTGTAGGAAAAAAAAATACCAAACAGTGGGTTTACTTCTAAAATTAAAATAGTTTATATGAACATGAATTCAATTCAGATAGTATTTCTTTATTTCCATTTTCTTTCTTTGTATCTGCTTTTAAAATTCAATTTTTACTTTTCAGTTTCAGGCAAATAGTTGGAAAAATCTTATCCTCAAAATATGTCAAGGGTCCATCCGCCCACTGCCATCTCATTATTCCTATGAACTTCGGTATCTCATCAAGCAGATGTTTAAAAGGAATTTCTCACAGCGCCCTTCAGCTACCACCCTGCTTTCCCGAGGCTGTTTGGCTTCCCTCATCCAGAAGTGCTTACCCCCAGAGGTATGATACCAGTTTTCAAGGATGTGATAAATGGTTTCTTACCTTTTAAGCATAACTTACTTGTTATACATGCTTGTAAAAATTCAAATAATTAGGGCCAGGGATTTAGCTTAGTGGTTCCTCTGCCTGCTTTGCAAGTGCAAGGTCCTGAGCTCCATCCTTGGTACAAAAAAAAAAAAAAAATTATTTTTTTTACACTCCTGCAATGCTATTCTCCAGGAATAATTACAGTTACAGTTTCAGTATCCTTCCAGACCTTTTTCTTAACACATACAAATATTTATCTCTCTGTATAAATTATATATACTTTTGGCTAGGCATGGTGGTGCATGCCTGTAATTCCAGCACTAAGGAAGCTGAAGCAGGAGGATTGTCATGAGTTTGAAGACAGCCTGGACTATAGTGAGACCCTGTCTCAAAAAAAAAACAAGAAAGAAAAAAATTATACGGACTTTTATTATTATTTTTTAAATTTTTAATTGTTTTTGGTGCTGGGGATTGAGCCTTAAGCATACTGAGGTACATTCCACCTCTATTACATGTAGTTTTTAGTGGCATTTTCTTTTTTATATGGTATCAGGGATTGAACTCAGGACCTTGCTCTTGCCAAACAGGCAAATGAACCACTGAGCTAAATCCCCAGCCTAAAATGGCATTTTTATTATTCAACTTTAAATATGCTTATGATGAAGAATGTTGGTGATTAAATAACATTTATGACAGTGTTCTAAAGAAGAGTATCTTTCACATCTTTAACTGCTCAATTTTAAATTTCAGATTATCACAGAATATGGAGAACAGGTATTAGATGAAACCAGAATACATAAGCATCATACACCAACAAAAAAGGGTAAGAACTTTGGAAATATTGTTTTTAAAGCACTCTTTTTAAAAATATGGCAAAAGGACCAGGGATTTAGCTCCATGGTGCCACCACCTGCCTTGCAAGTGCAAGATCCCGAGTTCCATCCCTGGTACCAAAAATAATAATAATAATAAAATTAAAATAAAAATATAGTAAAAATGGGCTGGGCTGTAGCTTGGTGGCACAGTGCCTGCCTGGAGAGCACAAGGTCCTCAGTTCAATCCGCAGTAGACACAAATAACAAAAAAACTAAAATAAAAAAAAAGTGTGAATTTTAAGTTGTTCAAAGTAATTAGCTGAGATATCTCTCAAGTCAAACTTTTTTTTCTTTATATCAGACAGTTCTCTATTGAATTTTGTACTATAGTTTTTCAGAGATCAGAAAAAGGATCCTAGTTTGGATAGTTTAGTGATAGAAAGATAGTTGTCTGCTTCATAATTAGCACCTTACTTACTCTGGTTTAATGGTTAGAAAGAAGGCTTCTGTGGAGTGGGCCTAGGAATATAACTGTGCAAAACATAACACTAATCTTATAGGAAAATATACCCCCAAGTTTCAGGAGAACAATCCTGTAAAACAAGCTTTTCTGAAGTAGAGCCTGTTCGTATGTGAATTATGTCTTTTTGGGTGGTAGTGATATGTTAGTGCAACTTCATTAGTTGTATATATATACCTTTCACTCAATTTTGCTGTGTACCTAAATCTGCTCCAGGGATGGGGGTGGTGGCATAGGCCTGTGATCCCAGCACTTGGGAGGTTAATTTAAGCAGGAGGATCACCAGGAGTTTGAGGCCAGCCTGGGCTACATAGTAAATTCAAGGCCAGCCTGAACTACATAAAAACAAAACAAAACAAAACATACCATCAAAAAACTTGTTCTAAAAATGATAAAATGTGTCAATTTAAAAAATAAGCAAATAAAGGTTAGAGCCTTTTCAAAAGTTAGGAACCAAGGCTGGAGATGTAGATTAGAGCTACAGTGCTTGCCTAATATGTGTGAAGCCCTGGGTTCAACATCCAGCACTAGGAAAAAGAGGAGGGAGGGACCATCCACATAATAGCTGCATAAGATCAGTAGGCTGTCCTAAGCAAGTATGGAGTTTGATTTATTCTCTCTTTAGAGCTTGTCGTGTCTGAATTTTTTCGAAGCAATGTTTACTCCTTTGCATTTATTGACTTCCTTGTAAAGAAAGCTAACAGGTGGTAGAAACTAGCAGAGTAAGAGAGAAGAGTTAAGAAATATAACTTGGGCCAGGGATTTAGCTCAGTGGTTCCGCTGCCTACCTTGTAAGCCAAAGGGCCAGAGTTCAGTCACTGGTACCATGAATAAATAAATAAATATTTAATGAGAAGAAAGCAACACCTAGACATACTGGTGGCTT